ACCCACCTTGTTTAGTGTTTTAAAGTTTTAACCCAGCCTTTGTTCATCTTACTGGGCTAAATAAATGAGTTTCTTTCCTTCTCATCACTTAAGAGAGGCTGGATTTTGCCTGACTATCCCTTTTCCATATTTTGATGAATTTTCCCCCTGGGTGTGAACAGCCTGAAGAAGTGGGAAATCCCAACATGGTGCAGCATGGGCTTGTAGAATAGTGTGAAAATTCTCCTGCTTCCAATGGGAACATTATTCCTTCCCTATCCCAAGATGTTCCTGCTGTTTGTGTTCATGAGGGTGTTGTATCAGTATTTTAGATTCAGAATATTATGAAATCTTTGCTTTCTTCTATTGCCAAGCAATGAGTTCAAGCTCTCAGAAAAAAAACCAAACAAACAATTATTCACCTGTAAATTCCTGAACTTTAATTTTTGTGTTATCCTGCCCTTGTCATTGAAGTCCCCAGGTCATTTAATTTACCTGTCGTCCCATATTCCTTTGGGTTGGCAATGCCTTCCGAATTCCTCTCAGGAAAAAAATGTAATCGGTGTAGGAGCATTCCCTGTCAAATTAATTACCAAAATTGTTGAATAAGATCAGTTCTGGCACCTGAGCAATGTAAGATTAAAAGGGATTTCTCCGAAGCCACTTTGGGGTGCTGTGAAAATGAGATGCTCTAAATCCCAGTGTGTTCTCCAGAGAAACATCCCTTTTCCTTCTAAAGGAAAATTGACTGGGAAACATGTACTGGAACATTGTAAGCTGGGAAAAGAAGGTTATTTCTAGCAAAGACAGAGCTGCAGCCACAAAATATTTACAGAAAATAAGATTATTTTTGCAATATCTACATCGGTTTTTATAGGAGAAGCTGCTTGGGCTTAGGCTGGACTTTCTGCTCGTGCCAAAGGCAGGAACATTCCTATAGGATGCAGGAATCATAAATCCAAGCTTTTGTCCTTAAGAAGGCAGAGTAAAAATCTACAAGGAAGTCTTTCCCTAGGACTGTCCTATCCACCCAATCACTGGGTTTCTTGATGATTCAGATTAGAAATATTTTTCAAATTAAGAAAGTTTTCACAAATCAGGAAACCATTTTCCAACCAAAATAGCCACAGGTTGGAATTCTGGCCATGGAAGATCAAAATATGATAGGAAGAGACAAATCCTGGGAAGGTGAGTTGTGCTTTTTTCTTTTTTTTTCCTTTGAATAGGTAATGTGTACTTAGGAATTGGGAATATCAGAGCAAGTCCTAGGGGGGTTATGAATTTAGTGGAAAGGGATGGAGTTGTTGTGGAAACACATAATTTATTAAATTTTCTCGTTCAGATGTTTAATTTATGATTTACGGTGACTTAAGCTTATTATGTTCCTCTCTTTAATTTGTCATGTAATAATTGTGTGTACAAATACACCCAAGATGCAAACAATTCATATATTCTGAGCAGATAAAATGCTAAAAAAATTTGATCTCTTGATTCTCTCTCTCACTCTGATCAACCAGTTTGCCCTTGTTTACAGTGCAACCCCCTAATTTCAACAGGTATCAGGTCATTCCACACATCCATTACTATAAAATATCCAGAGTACTTCAGAATAATTCACAAATATTCACATATTTCAGAACTGTTTTTGAGGCACGACATTTTAATAGTAGCACTGTGTAGAATCCCATAGTTTTGTGTGTACATCTGGCCACATATAAATAGGACCATATTCCCAGTGGTGTGTAACATCCTGGGATTTCAGACACCTCACTTTATGTTTCCATGGCCTAATTTTGAGCTTAAAACTGCAGAAAAATGGGAGGCTTCTAAAAATGTGATGCTTATCTAATGCAGTTTAGATTTGCCTTAGCAAAATGAGGAGCCCATGTGTGATAGGCTCAGGTAATTAATTAATTTCAGGCTGTTAATAAAGCTCTGCCTGGTGGGAAGGGCTGGAAACAAGGGGCCACTCTATGGAATTGTACTGATTCACTTCCCAAAAGCAGATGTTTTCTTTATAATTATGGCAATTTATGTCTTTTTTTTTTCATTCCCTTCCCTTCCCTTCCCTTCCCTTCCCTTCCCTTCCCTTCCCTTCCCTTCCCTTCCCTTCCCTTCCCTTCCCTTCCCTTCCCTTCCCTTCCCTTCCCTCCCCTCCCCACTTCCCTCCCCACTTCCCTTCCCTTCCCACTTCCCTTCCCTCCCCACTTCCCTCCCCACTTCCTCTTCCCCTTCCCCCTCCCCTTATTTCCCCTTATTTTTCCTTTCCCCTTCTGCTTCTGTCCTTCTTATCTCCCTTTTCCTTATCATTATTATTAATAATATTATTATAATAATTTATTTCAATCCTTAAACTGTTCTCATCTCACCCCACAGGTTTTACCTTTTCCCAGGTCTCCTCCCCATCCCACAGGGAGGTAGGGATTGTGATCCTGAGTTACTGGCTGGGGTTAAACCACAAGGATCTCTCCCTGAATTTCTTTGTCTTTCTTTGTCACCACATCACTGGGAGAGGAGAGAAATCAGGAGAAGATTTTGATTAAAGATCAAATTAATGAACAAAAGCACAATCCTTCATGCTGGAACGGAACATTTTAAGAAATCACGAAGCGAAACATAAGAACACTAGAAAAGTTTGGATTGGGGAATAAAAATTATTTGGGAGCCCGTGTGCTAATCAACAGCAAATGTAAGGATCCCTCAGGCTGAAAGGGCAGTGAATGACGGGTGGATTTTATATTGGACCTTTTCAATCAGCGTTTTCTGAACATTTCTCATTATGGTAATGATGATGGGATTAATTATCACCACGAGAACAAGTGATAATGGCACTTTGAACTGTATTTGTCACCACATGACACAGAGTATTCCTTGTTTTTTACATTCTCCAGGATGTGTGAGCAGCGAGAGGTGCTGCCTTTGGCACCAAAAAACAGACCAGCTGGGCAGGAGATGTCAAAGGACGACAAACACCACCTGGGCAGTGTCTTTACCTGGTTGCATTAAGACATCACCAGGAAAATAATTTAAATTTGTCCTTGGGATTAACATTCAGCTGCAGCAAATGCTATAAAAATGATGTGTGATTGAAAATAGGTGATTGCCTTCTAAAACATATTCTCACATGAGTCAGATTTCCAAAGGCCACTTGCAGAACTATTAACAAATGAAGAAATTTTGTTTTAGCCCATGTTGGAGAAGGAACATAAACCAGCAGGGTGGGAAAACTTAGTGCACTTCTCACCACTGGGAGTAAATCCATGAATCCCAGAGTGTTTCCCTGCTGCAGAAGCAGTGTGGGGTGGCTCACATAGCAAAAGGCAGGTTCAGCATGGAAAATATTGGGATTTTCTACTTATGAGCCCAGTCCAATGAATATTTTAGAGAAGCATTTAAACAGAAAGTGAAAAAACACAGAAATATATGGACCGAGATTTCTCAGGAATTAGAAATTCATGCTGTGATCCTGCCTCAGCATGGGATGTCCAGCTTTACAACCAAAGTGTTCCTCAGTCACAGTCATAACGTGGATAATTCTAAAAAAAAAAAGGTAATTTTATAACTTTTGATTCTCCTGCGTATAATTGATGAATTTGCTGACAAAAAAAAAATCACTTGGATTTTTTTTTTTTCATAAAGTTTTATTGTGCATTTACTTCTTATGTGACTTCCAGAAACCAGTTTTGGTCTGAAGACCCTAATATTTTTTACAATTTGTTTTCCTATAAATGGTTGCCCGAGTGGAAAAAACTCTCTGGAACTTCTCTCCTTGTAATTAAATTTATCCAAGGGACATGAGAGCAGCTTCTGGTGCTATTTAGTATCTCTTACTATACCAACTAATTAATGGATAACTGACATCCACATACTCAGCTTTCATAATGTTATCTGATTAATAAGCAATAACTACCTCAGTAAATCAAAATTAAATGCCTGCTTATGGCAGTGTGAGTTTAGAACCCTCCTGCCTAGAGACTTCCCATTGATTGATTCATTAAATATTTCATTGACACAGGAAAATCAGGGGGAAAAAAACCCTCATGAGCAGCTTTGCCTTTCGTTTGAGAGGTCAAGTTTTACACCATCGGTTCGTTGAAGAAGTAAAAGCTCCACAGAGTGTCCTGGGTGGCTGAAATCCAGCTGTAGGTAGGATGGGTTGTCCTCAGATGGAGCTGGAGAGGGGAAAAAGGGAGCCCAGAGCAACGTATCACTTCCTGAATTAATGGTCCCATTTTGTGGATAATTAACAGCCTTGCTGGAGCTCCCCAAAATCCTGCTGGTGGGTTTCCTGAAAGGTACTGGAGGCTTGAGTAAGGGAGGAGAAATAAAATACCTCCAAGAGGCTGGAAGAAGAGAGAGGCAGCCTTCTTCTGCAAGGGGCCTCTAGAGGAGAAACTCAAGCACTTAACTCCCAAAAAGATTTGGGAAGTCCTGCTTTTCCCGTGGAATTCCTAGTCAGCAACATCAGAACGAAGTGACAACTCCCAGCTTTAGGTCACAGATGAAATTTCAAAAGATGAAGCAGTTTTCAAACCCTTTTTTAGGGTGAAGCTTTCCATTCCTGCTACATCAGACTATTTTGGCTGCCTTCCTGATGCCTAATAAAAAATGCACTTGTTATTTAACAAATATGTAGTTTTCCAGTGGAATGAAACCAATCCTTAGGGAGACATACATATTCATATTATATTATTTTTTTAGAACTCCATTTCTCCCAACCTTCCAGATGCACAGCCAGCTTCACCACTTCAGAATTAGATTTATTCACTATTCCAGTTTTTCTCATATGTCACCATTCCCGTTTTTTTTTGCCGTCTCATATCCAGCAGATGTTGCACAGAGTGTTGGTTCCACGAAGATACTTTGGACAATGAAGACTGAGTTTGAAACGTGGAATTGTAGGTGGGTAAGTGAAGGAATGTGCAGGATTGGGAAGGCAGATGATCGGCATAATATCTTATTTCAGAAATATAAATGTTTTTATGCACAAAATGAGACGTAATTACAGTGATAGAGCGATAGTTCGTTACCTTGCAAATGTTACAAGCTAGAAAAACCTTCATTTTTTCATTTTTTATTGCTCTGGTTTCTAATGTTTCTTTGACTTGGCAGTTATTTACAGTCTGCTTTCTGTCTTCACTTTTTTTACCTGGGGTTGAAGGCTTTTCATTATGAAATAGAATAAACCCAGGGAAATAGAACATGCAAATTACATTTCTGTTCATGGTAAACTTTTGTGTAGTAAAATGTGTTGGCTCTGAGTTTGCTTCTACATTCAGGAGTTTCTGGCTGTAAAAAAAAAAAGCTATTCTAAGGACAAGAATTTAACACAAGGATTATTTTTTTTCCCCCTACTGTGAAAATCTATATTTTTGTCACTGCGTTAACCTGAAAAAGATAAAGATACATCTTCGTTTTCCTTTCAACTTTCTTTCCCCATCCATTCCTTTTTAACTCGTTCCTATAACAGTCTGTTTTAAGCAACAGCCCTGACAGAAAAACCTATGAGGGTTTTCAAATTCAATAAGCAGGGCTGGAAAGGAGACATCCCTCATCTCAACTTCAGCTGAGTAACTGCAGATCCTTAACATTCCCCTCTACTCTGGAGGTCTCCGAAGCCATCAATCTGCTGGAAATCTGCTGACAGCCCCGAGTGGTTCCTCACTGTCTGAAATGTGCTGTGCTGCTCCAAGTGCTCTGAGATCACTGGGAAGGAGGTGACTTATGAGGCAGAGGTGGAGGTTTCTGTTCCTGCAGCAACATATGTGTGTGTTGGGCAGTACTGGGAACACGGGACCAAGTGAAATCCAAGTGCGCTGGTGGCCAGTAGGAAAATGGAAATAATTCGTGAGACTTTGTAGAATATAACCTGGATTCAAACCTGTGAATCCTCTATTTCACCCTCTTACACCCCCAAGAACACCTTCCAACGTTCTGAATTAGGAATCACAGGATCATCAAGGTTGGAAAAGTCCTTTAAGATCATCAAGTCCAACCTGTGACTGATCCCCACCTTGTCACCCAGCCCAGAGCAGGTGATGGCACAGGAACAAATTCTTTGACGCTCTCACCAAACACAAACTCGGTGTTTAAGGTGCCATTTAATCCTGAAGATGGGTTTAACTTTACACTCTGGACTGCTCACTGTGCATGAAGTCAAGTAGTTCACAGAATCATGGAATCATGGGTTGGAAAAGTCCTCCAGGATCATCAGGTCCATCCTGTGCCCGATCCCTATTTTATCTCTCAGCCCAGAGCACTGAGTGCCACAGCCAGTCCTTCCTTGGACACCTCCAGGGGTGGGGACTCCAAACCTCCCTGGGCAGCCCCTTCCAAGGTCTGACCACCCTTTCCTTGAAAAATTCCTTTCTGAAATGGTTTGAAACAATTTCTCTGTGTGTTGTTTCTGAATCTTGCATTGGCCAAAACTGAGCTGTCTGTCTGCAGCATCACCATTTCTCCCCCACATCTGCCTTCCCCTGGCTCCTGAGCAGGTTTTTGCAAAGCTCACAGCCCACCTGCAGGAATTACTTTGGAATCAAGTTTTCATGTTATAAAGTTTCCGTATTTTTTGTTTTGCTGGAATAGTTTTTCATCAATGTTTGTGAAATAACTCACAGCAATGTTACAACGTTTTACAACAATATCACAACAATGGACATGTCTTGCAACGTTATGACAACAGTTTTAATGATGTCACAATAACTTCCTCATATCACATCACTATTTTTAGCTGGGCCAAAGGAGGTTGAGTCCAGATGCTCACAGCAGAGAGATGATTTGAATATATTGTGATTGCTGATTTGTGCCATTTAGATTAATGTTTCCCTTGCAAATATTTGAAAGGGATGCATCCATTTCTCACATTAAAGACTAAAGCCAGGAGTCTAAGACTGCATCAGTCAGTTAGATACACAAACAGCATCAAAGTGAGGTGGGAATTGGGTCTTTAAACCTCTTCAACAGCATTTAAGACCTCTGCCTGAAGAATTCCACCAAACCCCCAATAATTTGTGCCAAATAGGAATAATTCTTAGGTTCGATACATGGACATTTTATCCTTTCCTTGTTTTTTTTTTTTATCTCCTTTTTTTTTGTATTTCCTCTGCTTTGCCTTTGATATCTTTATCTTTCCCTTGTCTTTGTCATGAAATGCAATTTGATTTCAAGTTGCCCTGTACCCGTGCCCTGCTCCAGCAAACCCACCCGTGCATTTTGGGCCAAATCCTGACTGCCTTAGGTCTCGAGTCACTCAGATTTCCTCTGCTTGAGCCAAGTCTGATTTTCTGTCCTCTGTGTAAGGTCACATGGACGCTGAGTGGTTCTGATATGTTAATACCATTCTCCAGATCACTGGAGCTTCTCCACCAGAAGCTACAATGTGTAAGTGACACACTGGCACTGCAGGAACAAGCAGTGCTGACCCCAAATCTCCAGTTGCTTTGCTGAGATACCTTTGGGCAAAGCCACTCAACCGTCTCACAAACAACTTGCTCGAAGACTGGGGCACAAACTGTTTGCTGTATAACCCTCTCTAATGCTCTATTTTTTCTTCCTTGAGAAAAGATTAAAGAAGGGAATTACATTGGAGCTGGTGGAGGCATGATCCATGCCCCCTTGATTATATGGAAACATTAAAATATCATCAGCATGTTAATTTTATCAACTGAACTGTATGAGATTTATTCCTACCTCTTATCTATTACATTAGTCTGGAAATACAATTTATTCTGGTGGTGGGAATGTCAGACAGAGAGACCAAAAACATCTGGACATCTTAATATGAGACAAATTTTCTAGGATGTAGATTGCCCCTTTAAAATTAATTCTGCTAATAAGGAGGCAGAAATTTCATAGCCTATTGATCTTTCAAAATAGAGCCCTGACTCTTTTTGGGGGTAAAATAGGTAGATACAAAGAAGGTTTCTTTGAGGATTTGCTGTTCACTTGTCTTCTGTTACATATTTGAGTATCAAATGGAATAGATTATTTCAGCATTCTAATATAAACCACACAACATCAGATAAAACCCAGCCATCACAAACTACAGGATTAATAAAAATCAATGAAAATTCCCCGAGAAAAACAACATATCTTAAACATTCCCCTGCTCTGAATTGGTGGATTTTCTTTCTAAACATGTAAAATCAATATTAATTAAAACCAACCATAAAAAAAAAAAAAGACACCCAAAACCTCCTTGAAAGATAATCTTCATTTAAAAAATATATTATATTATGCAATTATCACAGAACCTTTTCAGCCCGTGGAGGAGCGTGAGTAACATTTCTCCTCTGATTCCAGGATATTTGGGGTCCTTGTCCTGGGAAGTGCATGGAAGCAAAGACACACCTGCGGCTCTGCCCGCCCGGCACGCTCCGATTCCCATTTTACTGGGAGCACAGAGGGGAAAAAAGCAGAGCAGTGATCTCTAATTCAAAACATCCCTTTCAGCTCCGGGATGGCTGCGTTTCTATGTGGTTTTTCCCTGGAAGTTCCAGCCTAGCCCATAGCAATAACTTGATAATTGTTCTGGGAAGAGACTCTGCACAAGTAAACAGGCATCTATAAGATTAAGAATTATATGCCAGGGCTTTGACACAACCATCAGTTATGCCAGATGCAAATAATTTATTCTTTGTCAGTTCAAATACACAGCCTTGTTTGGATGGCTTAAATTTATACTGGCACCAAAATGTAGCCTGATATTATTTAAGTGTTGAAACCACAGATATGCATCTCAGATGACCCAAAAAGAGGAAGAAAAATGTTGGTTATATTTTCTGACAGTAACTCATCATTGTTATGTTGTAATAGGTGGTTTAATAACTTATCCTTGTTGTGTGATAATATGTGGGGAGGCCCTGGCACAGGTTGCCCAGAGAAGCTGTGGCTGCCCTTGGATCCCTGGAAGTGTCCAAGGCCAGGTTGGACAGGGCTTGGAGCAACCTGGGATAGTGGAAGATGTTGGGGTTGGAACAGAGGAGCTTTAAGGTCCTTTCCAACCCAAACCATTCTGGGATTCCATATGATTCTATGTATCCTACTTGACATGGAATCATAAAATTTTTTAGGTTGGAAAGGATTCTCTAACCACTCTCTTAAACAGTTTGGGTTTTCCAAAGCAAAGCACAGAGAGAAAGAACATGAGTGAAATTAAGGCAGAAGTGCACTTTTGCCAAGATGAAGCTGGGCCAGGTGCTCAGCCTGCTCAGGATGCTCAGAAGTTGCTCAGATGTTTCCTTGGCTTTGCAAAACAGGAGCTGCAGAGGTGTCCAGTGAAGATCTATCCACCAGTGAGACACCTCGAGTGCTGTGTCCAGTTCTGTGTCACTCACTACAAGGACATTGAGGGCCTGGAGCGTGTCCGGGGAAGGGAACGGAGCTGGGAAGGGGCTGGAGCAGCAGGAGGGGCTGAGGGAGCTGGGGGGGCTCAGCCTGGAGAAAAGGAGGCTCAGGGGGGACCTTCTGGCTCTGCAACCCCCTGACAGGAGGGGGGAGCCGGGGGGGTCAGGCTCTGCTCCCAGGGAACAAGGGACAGGAGGAGAGGGAACGGCCTCAGGCTGTGCCAGGGGTGGCTCAGGTGGGACATCAGGAGGAATTTCTTCATGGAAAGGGTGGTCAGGCACTGGCAGGGGCTGCCCAGAGAGGTTTGGAGTGCCCACCTTTGGAGTGTCCAAGGAAGGCCTGGCTGTGGCACTGGGTGCTCTGGGCTGGGGGACAAGGTGAGAATTAGGTATAGGGGGGACTTGATGGGCTGGGAGGGCTTTTCCAGCCTAAATGATTCCATGATTCTGTGAACCACTTAAGTTCCTGCACAGTGAGCAGCCCAGAGTGTAAAGTTAACCCCATCTTCAAGATTAAATGGCATCGAGTTTATATTTGGTGAGAATGTCAAACGATTTGTCCCCGTGCCATCACCTGGGAGAATTCTGCTCATTTTACAGGAGTTCAGCTCCCATGGATTTCCTGGACAAGAGAATAAGTGGAATTTGAGCCGCACATCCTAAGCCGAGTTCACGACGGCCCACATTTCCAACAACAAAACCAGCAGTGACAGTGATATATGGCTTTTTTTATGAGACCTGATAACTGATGGATATGTGATCTTATAAATGCTTAGACAAACTAATGCACATAATTATATTTTCCATTTGAAGTCTATTGCTCGGCATTCTAATACAATATCATTAGTCGAAATGGCCACAATGATACAGCTTGGGCAGTTTGTCACAGTAATTACGGGGTGATTATTTTTGACTGGAATAAAGATTTCAGTTTTAGTATGGTAGAAAGCATAATCACAAATTAGAAACAGTCTCAGAATAAAGAAATATCAGGGAGAGGGACTTTAAATATGGATTATGGTGCAATTCTATAACAATTCCTTTAAAGAAGTGCACTCATTTGGCTGAAAGTGGGGCTACTTTTAGGTTTATACCGAGTTCCTTCCCAAAAGGATGGCAATTACCTAATTAACAGTTCCTGTGTGGCAGGTTTTCATAAAAGGGAGAAGCTGGGCATGGTAAGGAAGGCTCATCTTATAATTTCCATAACTGCTAAAACAGGCTTTCTTTTTTTTCCATCGACAGAAAAATAGATCATTTGTCTTCACCGTTTTCAGGGTGGTTGATTAAAGTAGACACTGTCCTCACATCTGTATTGAAAACTATATTAATCAATTGATTAATCACGAGGCATTAATCAAAATCTTCCTTAAGTGTTTTAGTTTTGGAGCAGCTCTGAGGATTTTCTATCAGATTCCTTTTAAGGTGTCCATTATAAAGATTAAATTTGGGTGGTAAATATTGAGGGGGTTGAAGCCCACGTGGCTTCCCCCTTGAAGGTCACAGCCATTGCTCATTAGTGTTACTTTTAATGGGATAAGAAGCAAAAGTTTTTAATATGTGGCTACATCAATTAATCAAATCCACATTTGATTTCCTTGCCAGTAAGCAGTCCATATTTTCAGCACGTGCAAAGAAATTTCCAGTGGTCTAAAATCTTGGATACTTCAGGCTGTGCTTAAAAATAGTCCATGAATTTAAGGCATTTAAATTGAACATGAAGATCCAATGAAATGATGCACTAACTATAACTGCTAGTTTTTAAGTATTCTGCTTTAGAAATATTCATTTAGAGGTATCCTGGACAGTTTTTATTAAGCTTGTATTTAAATAATCTCTTTTTTTTTCCCCTTACAATGAATGAATATAAAACTTCCGAGCTCTGTCACAAAGTTTTTAGAATAAAAGAAGCTGTTTTTGAGTATTTAGCTAATTCAAGTGAACCATAAAGGACCTTTACAAGGAAGCTGATCATCTGGGAGTTTAACTCTGTTTGTTTTTGCTCGTTCCTGTTTGTTTTTCCAGCCTGAAACATTAAACACCGGTACTCCAGTAAATGTATTTTTTGAAGCATCAATTACAGTACAAAAGAAAACCACTGATTACACATCTCTTCATGTGCAGAAAAATGTGTCTTCATCTCGAAATCCCTCTGTGAGTGATTCTTTAAGAGAGATTTACTGAATCCTCACTGTGGCTGCTCTTATGACAAGCTGGAAATACCTATTTTCCCACTGAATGCTTTTTCCACAGGAGGAAAAAAAAAATCATAGGGGAAACACCAAACCC